GCCTGGGGTAGTTATGCTTACAAAAGCTCTATAAATTATTAACACCATATATGACATCACTCATCTTTATCACGTTTCAGGATTTATTGAAAGAAGTTCTCGCCAGTGATAGAAATTTAAATGAAAAAAAGAAATACATCAGAGAATTAGAAGACTACATAGATAATTTATTACTCAAAGTCATCGTAGAAACACCCCGAATTTTGGATGTCAACTATCATTATTACAGTGGCACATCATCCACGCTCTAAATCCATTACTGAATACCAAGGTTGTAAAAGTCACAATATCAAGGAATACTCTGTATGCCCATCTGAGCCTTGTGAAATCACCATGTAAAAAACGAAGATTTTTAAGGTTGCCACATCCAGAACTGTGTCCAGGTTTTAAACCACCTAAACGCTATTAAGTATGATGTATGGTTACATTTATGTACATACCAAAGATATATAACATCGTTTGTACTGCAAACCCACCAGAACCCTGTTGGAATCGAAACGTGATATAGTTTTTAAATAGTATATATACCATACTATAAATATTTGTATACCAAACCTAGGATACAAGATGTTAATTTAAAACATTATGGCATTTATGCTGTGTCAGTACCTGAATTGTCACCGTCTTTATTAACTTTTCAAGTGCCAAAATCAACTTTAGGCAACATCACAAATTCAAGCCAAATAATTTTTTTTTAATTTTTCCAAAAAAGGAAAATTATCAAAAAAATACTTAAAAACAGGCAAAATGTTGCATTAAATTTTGCCAGAAAAATTGTGACGTTCAAAGTGTTAAAAGCACATCTCTGTTAGAAGGGCAAAATTACATTTATTGTATGTTGGATCTGTAAAACATGACCACAGACATATGTCTATCATTTATGCATGTATATGTGCTACTATTAAACAAATACAGTATATCTGCACATACAATATGTGAATTATCATTTAGGCCAGATTTTATTATCTCTTGTTACGCCAACCTGCCGAATGAACAGGAGCTGAAAATGAAATAAAAATAAAATTTTATTTTAGCATAATTTCTCGCGCCCGCCGACTTGTAAGCGCAAAAAAATGCTAAAAAAATATTATTTTTATCTTCATTTTTTTACCGCCCGCCGCATAACAAATCCAAGTTGCATTTTCGTGGGAGTATCATGATCAAAGTACCGAAGTCTTGCGCAGATGAGAAACAAGGTTATACATGGAATAACATTTTATTTCATTTCTTCTCTCCGATCAATGATCTCACCCACATTTCTTTGAGAATCACACAAATCTGCCCTCCTCAAAAAAATTGCCTTATAAAAACTTGAGAAACAAGAAATAAAAAAAGTCTGGCCTTAGAATCTCTGCTAAAGGTTAATAGGTTTGTCCACCGCTTGCATCTTATCCGCCTGGTAATACATAATGTTGCATGTATTCTGGTTTGATTTGTTATGTTACAGTGAATTTTAAATCATGTAATTCTCATTCTATATTTAATTATGGGAATTTTTCAGACCTTTGTAATAATTCACTGTTGTGTCCCATTATTAAAACTACTCAACAGTTTTTCTACCTACTGGTATTACAAATGTGCCATTATGAGAACAGTTCTTAGAACAACTTAAGAACTCATCGTCAGTACTTAAATCAAGTAATGAATAATTTTTCATTTTCTTTTTCTTCAATGATATGATCAAAGTGCAGCCACCAAGAAGCAGCTAACATGAGATAACGTTGTAGCATTTATTAGTCCCAGTTTGGAGGCAGTTTGAAAACTGTGACTTATAGATTGACCTCTGTTTGTTCATTTGTACATGCTTCTCCATCTGTATCCTGGACGTGCCTTGGCCAATCGCATTCAAACTTCACACGCACATTATACATATTGACATACATATGCATGTCCATTCATATCATGATCCAATTCAAAATGGCCGGTTAATTGTCTTGTTTTGTGGATACATTTCTATCAAACTTAGTGAGTACATTGGACATAATTGAACCTTACTCACTTCATTTTGTTTTTTAGATCAGATTCATGTTTTAAAAAATGCTGGTCCAGAACCATATCTCTGACAACATGGCTTGTCCAATCACATTCAAACATTACACATACATCATACATCATGTCACACACATGTATTTGTTTGATGATTCAATTCAAAATGAATGGCTGTCATGTTAAAAATGCATAAAAATCATTTCTGTCATTCCAGAACTGGATCTTGGTTGTACATGGACAGCCATTGTTCAAACATTTTCAGATCAGATTAAAAATGGCTGACAGGCAGACATTATTTAAAGTGTCCTGTCAACTGTAAATATTGTATGGTTCCATCATTCTTCTTCTGTTTGCTTGTTGGTTTGACCTACACCATGCACTCTGCGCAGTTCAAAACTTAAACACTGTTAATGCCCTCGGAGCATGGTTGCAACCGTACTTATCATCACAAAAAAACTATGACCAAGCATGACAAATGATGATTAATGTTTTGAATTTATATTGTTTGTAAATACACAACTGGCTTTTAGCATCATTACTCTAAAACCTGAAGACAGTGCAGCTTTAGCTGCTGTTTTTTTTCCCATTCGTTTTGGCTATTGTTGAATGCTTGCAAGGACACAATTAAATGGAACTAAAGAGCCATTGCATAAGGCATGTTTAAATTTCATAATGCGCTGTGTACATCACATGGGCTGCACATTGAATATATCACATGGGACTCGCATTGAATATATCACATGGGACTCGCATTGAATATATCACATGGGACTCACATTGAATATATCACATGGGATTCACATTGAATATATCACATGGGATTTGCATTGAATATATCACATGGGACTCGCATTGAATATATCACATGGGACTCACATTGAAT